TCCGTGCCCTTAACCCCTACACCAAACTGGCATTGCCCCTAAGCCTTTGCCGGGGGGGGGCTGGGAAAACACAAGCCCCCCCTCCCCTCAGATCACGTGACAAGGCTGTGCGGCCGCCCCTACAATTCAACATGGCGGCTGGAGCAGGGGAGACGGAGAGCGAGAGAGAACCGGAAAGTGGGCTCCGTCGCGTTGCGATGACGTCTCCGGCCGTGACAATAGAGCGGCGGGGAAGCGTCTCTATGGTAACGCGTGACAGGAAGGAGGAGAGCGCTTCCGCCTCGACTTCCGGTGGTGGCTGCTCTGGCGCGGCCGCGGGGACTCTTGGCGCCTCCGCCCGCCCGCCCTCCCGCTCGCCATGAGCTTCCTGAAGCGGATCCCGCCGCCCGGCGAAGGGGTCCGGCTGCGGCAACCCGACACCGAGGCGGGGGGGGGGGGGGGGGGAGAGATGAGAGAGCTTGGTCTTGTGGAACTCGCGGCCACCAGATATCGCAGCCGCCAGGCCCGGGTGGAACACTTCCGGCGCTTTCTTGGCGGGGAGGGATCCCGGCTGGCGGCTGTGGTGGAGCCTCCAGCGGCAGGGGCAGCGTACCCCCGAGAGGGCGGGTCCCGGGCGAGGGCCAGGGAGGGGAGGGGCTGTTCTAGGAGGCGCCCGCCCTGGGCGACGGGGCGCTCCTGGTTCTCTGCATTCCCCTGTGCGATGGTTCGGCTGCGGTGGCGGGAAGGAAGGGAGCCTTCTGGGCCACGGGCAGCTCGCCTCCGGGTGGGGTGGGTCGGGTCGGGGTCCCCCCAGGGTAGGAACCGCCGCTGAAGAAGAAACGACTTGGGCAGGCAATGCTGCGACAGGGCCTGCCAACCTCCCGGTGGGGCCTGGATGTTTTCCACGATCCATCAGCTGGTTTCGAGAGTACAGAGATCAGTAGGGGAGAGGCTGTGGCTCAGTGGCAGAGCCTCTGCTTGGCATGCAGGTGGTCGCAGGTTGCACCTCCAGTTAAAAGGACCAGGCAGGAGGGGATGGGAAAGACCTCAGTGGTAGAGCCTCTGCTTGGCATGCAGAAGGTCCCAGGTTCAGTCCCCGGCATCACCAGTTAAAAGGACCAGGCAGGAGGTGCTGTGAAGGACCTCAGTGGTAGAGTATCTGCTTGGCATGCAGAAGGTCCTAGGTTCGATCCCCGGCACCTCCAGTTAAAAGGACCAGGCAGGAGGGGATGGGAAAGACCTCAGTGGTAGAGCCTCTGCTTGGCATGCAGAAGGTCCCAGGTTGGATCCCCAGCATCTCCAGTTGAAAGGGCCAGGCAGTAGGGGATGTGGAAGACTTCTGCCTGAGACACTGAGAGACCAGGAAGAGGGGAAATGACTCAGTGGTAGAGCCTCTGCTTGGCATGCAGAAGGTCCCAGGTTCAATCCCCGGCATCTCCAGTTCAAAGGATCAGGCAGGAGCTGATGTGAAAGACCTCTTTCTGAAACCTTGCAGAGATGTAGTCAGAGGCTGTGGCTCAACAGAAGAGCCTCTGCTTGGCATACAGAAGGTCCCAGGTTTGATCCCCAGCATCTCCAGTTAAAAAAGGACCAGGGATAGGATGGGAAAGACCTCAGCCTGACCCTGGAAAAGCTGCTGCCAGTCTGAGTAGCCAATACGGACCTTGATGGAGTAAGGATCTGATGCAATATATGGTACCTTCACATGTGCTCCAGTGTTTCCTCTAAGCTGAGTTAGGCCCCGGTCACACGGGCCGGATATCGCAGGGGGGGGAGGCGTGGCTAATTGGCCCGGTGTAGTTTGATCCGCGATTATGCAATCCGACGTGCCGGCAGGTAACCGAGGGTGGCGATCACACGACGATCCTGCAGCGTGGCAAAGAAGTGGCGCGGCGCGATCACACAAGCAATGGCTAGGCGCCGCAGCCGTGACAAACGGGGTCTTTTTTTAAAGCCGAAACGGCACTTTCGCTTTCCTCTTTGTGCACATGCACCATTGGGTGCTTGCGCGCATCTTGTGGAGACTGGGGGGGGACCTGTTTGCAAAGGGACATGGGCGGGCGCCGGATGCCACCACCAGAAACGCGATCAGACGCCCGCCCTTGCCCCGCGGTTTCCAGAAACTAGTACCTCGGAGGTACTAGTTTTTAACTCCGCATCTTCGGCGGGAAGCCTCGGGTTCGCCATGGGAGCTCTACGTTTCCCAGATGTTGCGATGTGATCACGCCCAGAAAATCTGCCTACCTTCCATCTCTGTAGCATGGCTAATGCTCTGTGTGACCGCAGCCTTAGTGTGAGCTAGCTCACAGTTTTTTAGCCTCCAGCTCACAGATTTTTGTCTTAGCTCAGACAGGATGGCTCCAGAGCAAACGAATTGATGCAGTAGCCAAATCGCTCGCTCACAACTTTAATGCCAGCAGCTCACAGAGTAGAACTTTTGCTCACAAGACTCCACAGCTTAGAGGGAGCATTAGTGTGCTCATGGGGAGATGGAGGCTGTGATTTTCAGCCCTGGCCCCTACCTGGTGGAATGAGCTCTCATGGGAGATCAGGGCCGTGCAGGACCTTTTACAGTTCCGCAGCGCCTGCAAGGTCGAGCTCTTCCGCCAGACTTTTAACTAGAGTGAGAGATGTCCCTCCTTCTTTTTTGGGTCTCCCCTCAGTGGGTCAGAACGGCTTACCAGAGATGGCATCTGAGACTTAATTCTAAGGACAGCTGCACCGGCTGAAGGATATAGTTGTAATTTATTAGTGTTTTAATTGTATTTTTACCAGTTCCTTTGTATTTTATATATTGTGTTTTTATTAAATCTGATGTAACCCGCCCTGAGTTTACCATGCAGGGAGGGTGGGATATAAATCAAATACATAAAGATAAAGTAATTGTATATGTGTGGGGGGGGTGAAGCTGGGAGGGGGCTGAGTCACCAGAAGGAGGATGAGTTTGCCTGCGGCTGTCTTGGTGCAGAGCTGGTGGACCTCTTGGTGGCCCCTGGTATTTCTGGCCACGTGTGACACAGAGTGTTGAACTGGATGGGCCAATGGCCTGATCTAACATGGTTTCTCTTATGTTCTTATGTTGCTGTAAGTCGGTACTTCCCAGCACTGATGCAGCTCTCAAATAGCCAGAGAATATTCAGGGAACTTGGAGGATGTTCCATAAAAACCGGCAGAGGAGAACTTTGAGAAGGATTATCAGAAATTTCAGTGGTATTGAGTGTAGTCTCATATCAGTTGAGGATCTGGAGGGCCAACAGAGGCCAAGGTCTTCCCAACCGGTTCCTCTGGAGGGCTGACAACAGGGCAGAGAGGCCGAGGCCTTCCCCTGATCAGAACCTCAGAAGAGCCCTGCTGGATCAGACCAGTGGTCCATCTAGTCCAGCCTCCTGTCTCACACAGCGGCCAGCCAGTTCCTCTGGAGGACCAACCACAGGGCAGAGAGTCCGAGGCCTTCCCCTGATCAGAACATCAGAAGAGCCCTGCTGGATCAGACCAAGCGGTCCATCTAGTCCAGCCTCCTGTCTCACACATCGGCCAGCCAGTTCCTCTGGAGGGCCAACAACAGGGCACAGAGGCTGAGGCCTTCCCCTGCTGTTGCCTCCCGGCACTGGGATTCAGAGGTTTAGTGCCTCCAAATGTGGAGGTTCCGTTCAGTCACCATGGCTAGGAGCCACTGATAGACTTATCATCCAGGAATATCTAATCTCCTTCTAAAGCTGTTTATTTCTGTGGCCCGGCCCTGTGTTTGTTTTCATTATGAGAACGGCACATGATAAAGCATTCCTCCACGCGAAGACATTTCCTCCTTGCAGTATGAAATGGTGTTATCCAAACACCTCACTGAGATCTAGGCTCTTATGTGGTACCGTTGCCAGTTTTAAATCGGCTAAGGGTTTAGGGCTAGCAATTAAGAAGCAGAGATGCACTTAAGACTGTCAGTCTCCAAGAGATGCAAATGTATGTTCATTCTCAACTGATAATTCCCACCCACCCCCTTCCCAGTCCTTGGCATGTACGTGTGCTGTTCAGGACGATCATAATAGTGAAGAAGAAGAAAAGATTGGCTTTATACCCCGCCCTTCACTACCCAAAGGTGTTTCAGAGCGGCCTACAAACTCCTTTCCCTTCCCCTCCCCATAACAGACACCCTGTGAGGGAGGTTACAATTGAAAATATATTTTTTTTGATTATATTTATATTGACTACAGCTACAATAGGTAAAGGTAAAGGTTCCCTTGCTCGAAAGCCAGTCGAATCCGACTCTAGGGTTGCGGTGCTCATCTCCGTTTCCAAGCCGAAGAGCCAGCGCTGTCCGAAGGCGTTTCCGTGGTCATGTGGCCGGCATGACTAAACACCAAGGCGCACGGAACGCTGTTACCTTCCCACTGAAGTGGTACCTATTTATCTACTTGCAATTTCTTGCTTTCGAACTGCTAGGTTGGCAGGAGCTGGAACTAGAGACAGGAGCTCACCCTGTCTTGCGGCACCCGGGTCTTGAACCGCTGAACTACTGACCTTCCACAGCCTGCAGTTCAGCGTCTTAACCACTTGAGCCACCGCAGCTCCGCAGCTAGAATACTACTAGCTAAATACTAGAAACAGGAGTTCCTTCCCTCAAGAGAGGAATTAGTGTATAAATTGTTAGATACAGCGGAACTTGATAAATTAAGCATCATGCTTCAAGGAAAAGATGAAAAAAAATTTGTTGAAAGGTGGAAGCGTTTATATATATGGATAAATAATCAGTAGAAGTTATAGACTCAAAAGGATATAGATTTGTCTGTATACACTTTGTATGTATTTAGAAAACCGAAAATAAAACTTGGAGACAAACTCCTTTCCCTTCCCCTCCCCACAACAGACACCCTGTGAGGTAGGTGGGGCTGAGAGAGCTCTTGACAGAAACGGCTCTTTTTTCAAGAACAGCTCTGACAAAACTATGGTTTGCCCGAGGTCATCCAGCCAGGTGCAAGTGGAGGAGTGGGGAATCAAACCTGGTTCTCCCAGATTAGAGTCCGCGCACTTCACCACGACACCAAACAGTGCCATCGTTCTAGCCTGCAACTGGAAGGTTTGTCATGGCCCAGACCTGAAAAAGCAGCCGTCTTGGATGCTTGTAACTGAAGAATGCAGCATCAAAGTATCTTAAATGCTTTTATTTGTTTAAATCAGAGGTTCCCAAGCTTGTTTGGCCGACCGCCCCCTTTTCAGGGGGGAAAAAGTACTCAGCGCCCCCCTGGAAATCTGCCTTCAAAAAGTGGACAAAAAGATGCAGTTTGTGGATCTGCACCTAGATCGTTCCAGCACCCCTGAGGGGGCGGTATTGCCCACTATGGGAACCAGTGGTTTAAATTATCCCGCATGTGTCTTACATCTCATGTTCTGAAAACCAGCTTTTAATTGTTTGGGAGAAAAATCTTTAGCCTGGGAATGGGTCTGTTTAGCCTGGGAAAGAGAAGACTTCGAGGGGACATGATTGCAGTCTTTGAAGGGCTGTCATGTAGAAGATGGATCGGATCTATTCTTTCTTGCTTCGGACTGCAAGACTAGATCTAATGGGTGGAAATTACAAGGCAGTCGTTACCATCTAAATATCAGGAAAAACATCCTAACTATAAGAGTGGTAGAGCAGTGGAACAGTCTGCCTGGTTTGATTCCCCACTCCTCCACTTGCACCTGGTTGGATGAACTTGGGCAAGCCGTAGCTCTGATAAGAGCTGTTCTTGAAAAGGCAGTTTCTGTCAGAGCTCTCTCAACTCCACCTACCTCACAGGGTGTCTGTTGTGGGGAGAGGAAGGGAAAGGAGTTTGTAAGCCGCTCTGAGACGCCTTTGGGTAGTGAAGGGCGGGGTATAAATCCAATCTCCTCCTCCTCTTGGAAGGTGGATGCTCCTTCGATGGGCGTTTTCAAGCAGAGGCTGGACGACCATCTTTCGGGTATGTCGTAGGGCTCTCTTTCGGCTCTGCTCCTGCAGAGTGCAGGGGGTTGGACTAGATGACCTGCAAGCTCCCCTCCAACTCTAACATTCTATGATTCTATGAAAATGGGCTGGAAAGTACATAAACAAATAAATCTGTGGTTTTCACGAAGACCCGAAGGGTCATCCAGGGAGGTAAGCAAAGATTGCTGTGGGCAATAAAAGTTGAATGACTTGGTGCCTTAATTCTCCTTGCCTCTTGGCCTTCTCAGAGAGAGGGGGCCGATTCCAGGAGCCTGGCTGGGAAGGGAAGGATTCAGGAGGGTGAAAGGATGTGTGCCTACAAGTGAAAACTGTGTTCTCACTTCATTTCCACCCCACCCCCCAGCCGTCTGTCATGGATAGAGAACTCCGGCCTTGGCTTCTCCCTGGAGTACCCCACTATCAGCTTACATGCCATTTCCAGGGACCTGAATGCCTATCCGTGGGAGCATTTGTACGTCATGGTGAATGCAAAATTTGAAGGTAAGGCCTCCCTTTGGCCCCGTCAGAGAGAATCGTCCTGGTAGATAGGAGCCTTGGGTTCGAATCCTTAAGTACAGAAGTTTGGTGGGTGGTTTAATTTTTTTATTAATTTTTTTTTCTTTTGAGAATTAAGGATACAGAAAGGAAAAAAGGGCAATAGGGAAATTAAAAGTATAGAATCAGATAAAATATTTACACTTTTCCAGGACATTCATATTGTTGTTGTTTTTTTAAATAACTTTTTTATTAATTATGAAAATAACATTACAGGTAAGATAGCATTGTAGTAACGTAAACTCACAATCTAAATAATACATTATACATTAATAGTTCAATGTCAGTACAAACGGTACAAACAATGTTAACATATATATCTATGATTTTTCACCTGATATTTAGATCTTTATTTCAGGAATTTCTCCTTGTTCAAGCAAATACTTAAGTATAGGTAGCCAAACTGCAGCAAAATTTAAGGCAGACTTATATGCATTATCTTGCAATTCGTTATTTTTGCCATTGTATAAATTTTCCATAGCTTGTCATGCCAATGTTTTCTTGTAGGTTTTTTATTGCTTTTCCATACTAATGCGATAGAATTTTTTACAGCTACTAGTAATATTGCCACTCTTTCAGCTATACATTTTGAGCTTACATTGGTTTGCCACCTGTTCAACAAAATATGTTCCGCCATATTGTCTATTATCTGGCCAGTTATGTTCTTGATTTGCACTAAAATGTCTGTCCAAAATTGCTGCAACTTAGGAAGGCCATTCATATTGCTAGCGTCTCTCTGCGGTGATGTAGATGAGATCATGGCCACCGTTCCCTGCTTTCCGAATCCAGAACGGGTTTTGCTGACGCCGTCTCATGTGCTTGCCATGCCTTTCCCCAAATACCCCTGTTGATCCATCAGAGAGGTTAGCCCGAAACGTCCGGTGTTGTTGACTTGAGAGCCTACATTTCAATTCCTCAGCAGAAGAATCGAAGGAGGCTCCCATGGGCGACGGGGAGCAGGAGGAGGAGGAAGAAGAAGACAGCGACGATGAGCTGGAGCCGATTTCAGAGTTCAGATTCATCCCCAGCGACAAATCGGCCCGTAAGTAGGAAATCGCTGACTGTGCCTCGGTTGAGTTAAGTAATGGTCACCCATTCGAACCTTCCACTGTGTTGTGGGGTGTAACTCTGCAGCTGTTAGAAATGGGAAATACAAGTTGTTTGTTTGTCTTGTTAGACTTCTATCCCGTCCTACCCACATTGTAGGCGGGGCTGCAGTGGCTCAGTGGTTAAGATGCTGAACTGCAGACCGGAAGTTCAGCAGTTCGAGACCCGGGGTGAGCCCCCGTCTCTCTGGCCCCAGCTCCTGCCAGCCTTGAAAGGTAAAGGTTCCCTTGCTCGAAAGCCAGTCAAATCCAACTCTAGGGTTGTGGCGCTCATCTCCGTTTCAAAGCCGAAGAGCCAGCGCTGTCTGAAGACGTTTCCGTGGTCATGTGGCCGGCATGACTAAACACCAAGGCGCACGGAACGCTGTTACCTTCCCACCGAAGTGGTACCTATTTATCTACTTGCAATTTCTTGCTTTCGAACTGCTAGGTTGGCAGGAGCTGGAACTAGAGATGGGAGCTCACTCCGTCATGCGGCACCCGGGTCTCGAACGGCTGAACTACCGACCTTCCACGGCCTGCAGTTCAGCATCTTAACCACTTGAGCCACCGCAGCTCCAGCCTCGAAAGCAAGTAGATAAATAGGTACCGCTTCGGTGGGAAGATAACAGTGTTCCGTGCGCCTCGGCATCTAGTCACGCCGGCCACATGACCACGGAAACGTCTCGGGACAGTCCTGGCTCTCCGGCTTGGAAACGGAGACGAGCGCCGCAGCCCTCGAGTCGGCTTCGACTGGCTTTCGAGCAAGGGAAACCCTGACCTTCCCAACATGTAGGTCTGCCATGAATGCCGATTTACAATTAAAATACAGAACAATCCATTTAAAATCAATAAAACCACCAACACACTAAAACAACAACGCGCCTCAACAGGTAATGTAGTGGTCCCGTCAAGCGTCTAGGAACTGCGGTCACCGAAGGGGAGGCCAGATCAAAGTGGATCCCAGAAGCCAAGCAGAGCCAACCCCGGTCAGTCTGTGGATGGGAGGCCACCAAGGAAGTCTAGGGTTGCCACGCAGAGGCAGGCCAGGGCAAACCGACTCTTGTCTTGGAAACTCCATGAGGGGTCGCCGTAAGTCAGCTGTGACTTGGTCCCCCCCCCCCCCCCCGGCCCCCCCCTCCCCCCGGGACCATCCCTCCACATGCAACTCTTGGTCATGTCGACCGAATGCTTGAGGAGGCAGAGCTGACATGGGCGTAGAGATGTGAAGGCCCGGGAAAAACCGGGAAAAAAACATTTTTTCCTTTTTGTTTTTTTCAGAAAAATTGGAAAAATTGAAAAAAGGAAAAAAAATTGATTATGGAACGTTTTATTTTAACATGATGAATAAAATATTTTAAGACAAGGTGTTCAAATATTTTCCAAATCATTTCTAAAATATATATATATGGTATCAGATTGATCTAATTTCTGTGCACTGAGGACAAGCAAGTCCTAGGTTACCAACTGAACCCTCCAATGCAAGAACAAGATGCATTTCTTCCTTTAGGAGGTGCGATTGTCAGTAGAAAATAAAAAAGTTTCAGTGTTGTTTTTGCATGTGTGTGGGTATTCTGTTTGAAATAATTGTTTGGATACACTATATTTCTAATATGCTAGTTGTGATAATTTCATGCCAAGTAAAAATGTCCATAGTCATATTTTATGTTCCTAAAGTAACAGAATGACTTTCAATCTAGAATGTAGCTTTTTTTCCCAATTTTTCCGAACATTTCCGTTTTTTCCTGAAAAAACCCCGGAAAATTGGTTTTTTTCCGAGCTTCAAAATTTCCAGAAATTTTACATCTCTACGTGTGCGCATTGGATGGTACGAGGCCGCTCCGCAGGGTTCTCCCTCAGTCCATCGCAGAGAGCCAGCTGACCGTTGGCCCTTGTGTTTTCTGTCTCCAGTGGAAGCCATGTTCTCGGCGATGTGCGAATGCCAAGCCCTGCACCCGGATCCCGAAGACGAAGACTCCGACAACAATTACGACGGCGACGAGTACGACGTGGAGGCCCACGGTTAGTCGAACGTCGGCATTTCGGGGTTTACCCCGGGGTCCTCTTTGGGCCGTAGGAAGGGACTGCTTTGCGTCCCTCCCCCAAAAGTGGGGGGAAAGATCAAAATACTCTTTTTAGCAGTCTATCTGTTTATTTTAATCTGCTTGAGTGCCTTCAGCTCATAGCAGCTTAAGACCTTTGTTCAGTTATTTAGCGGAAGAACTCTAGTCTGGAGAACCGGGTTTGATTCTCCACCTCCTCCTCCACATGAAGCCAGCCAGGTGACCTTGGGCCAGTCACAACCTCTCTCAGAACCCCCTCGGCCCTGCCTGCCTCACAAGGTGCCCATTGTGAGGAGAGGAAGGGAAGGCGATTGGACGCCATTTCAAGGCTCCTTCGGGTAGTGAAGAGCTGGGTATAAAACCAACTGTTATTATCGTTATTATTAAAAGAATTATATCCCGTCTTTCCGTGTGGTTCAGGGCAGCTTATGACTGGTTGAAAACATTTCCAGGTAAAGCCAAAGCTAAAACAGCAAATCCCAAATCTCCTCTGCCTTGAAAAGATGTCTGCCATTCAAACACACACACACACCCAAAGCCATAGCAAAGAGGCGGGCTTTGACCACTACCTTTGATGGAAGTGACATACATCCTGGCAAATGGAATCTTTGACACCAGAATAGTTTGAAGAATTGGTACGGCTACTATCTATGGCCTGCTGTACAAACTTGTAGCAATTGCAAAAGCATATAAGAAAACAACATCTGGTCATATAAACCTGAGCCTGCGGGGAGGGCGGGATAGAAATCCAAATAAATAAATAATAAATAAATATAGAAGAAGAAGAGGAGGAGATTGGATTTATACCCCGCCCTTCACTACCCAAAGGAGTCTCAGAGCGGCCTACAAACTCCTTTCCCTTCCCCTCCCCACAACAGACACCCTGTGAGGTAGGTGGGGCTGAGAGAGCTCTTGACAGAAACTGCTCTTTTTCAAGAACAGCTCTTATCAGAACTATGGCTTGCCCAAGGTCATCCAGCCAGGTGCAAGTGAAGGAGTGGGGACTCTACTCCCAGAGTAGAGTCCGCGCACTTAACCACTACACCAAACTGGCTCTGGTTGGTATAGTGGTTATTGACCACTGAGGAAGGTCCGAAGGCGCCGAAATGCGTATGGTCCTTAAGTCAAAAAGTTTTCCCCATCAATTGTTTTTGTATAATAACTAACTTGGTTGTATAAGCCTTTCAAGTCTGAGACTTAGACTATTTCTTTTAACCGTACGTTTTAGCTATGTGTACTCCCTAATAAACATTTTGTATTTTTTTATATAATATAGTTGTTAGCTTGACCCACTTAGTTTGCAGGCTTCGAAGTGCCTCCTGAAGATCTCCTGGGGGGGGGACCGTCTTCGGGGAGCCCCTTCCACAGAGCCAGAGCCACGACCGAAAAGGCCCTGGGCTCTAGTTGATGCCAGGTTGGCCAGTTTGGTGTCGTGGTTAAGTGCTCGGACTCTAATCTGGGAGAACCGGGCACTTGCAGCTGCTGGAGGACCTTGGGCAAGCCGTAGCTCTGGCACAGCTGTTCTCTCAAGGACAGTTCTGTCAGAGCTCTCTCAGCCCTGCCCACCTCCCAGGGTGCTTGTTGTGGGGAGGGGAAGGGAAAGGAGTTTGTAAGCCGCTCTGAGACACCTTTGGGTAGTGAAGGGCGGGGTATAAATCCAATCTCTTCTTCTTCTTTAAGAGCAGTTTCTGTCAAGAGTTCTCTCAGCCCCACCTACCTCACAGGGTGTCTGTTGTGGGGAGGGGAAGGGAAAGGAGTTTGTAAGCTGCTCTGAGACTCCCTTGGGTAGTGAAGGGTGGGGTATAAATCCAATCGCTTCTTCTTCTAAGCGGTGGGGGAGCCAGCGGAGGGCTGCCTGAGGACCGTAGCTGGCACACTAGGGTGTATGGAAAGAAAAAGCCTTTCAGATCGGTGGTCCTCGAGTCATGGAGGGCCTTTAAAGGTCATAACCAGCACCCTGATTTGAATCCGGAGACAGATCTCGTAGCAAACAATCCAGCATTAAGAACCAGGCTTTGGGAAGAAAGATACACTTGGCCAGTCGTTCCTTATGTGTTGCTGAACAGCATGTTTCTACGACGTACGTCTGGGTATCGATAGGCTTCAGAATGAGATCGAGACGGATCTGTGGATGGACGTTAACCAGGGCGAGCCAAAGTGTTCCTCTCTGATTAGATTCAGGTGGGATCGCCGTGTTGGTCCGAAGCAATAGAACAAAGTTTGAGTCCAGGGGCACCTTTAAGACCAACAAAGTTTAATTCTGGGTATAAGCTTTTGTGTGGGAGGGCTTCTAATGTCCTGGCCCCCACTGGTGGACCTCCTGATGGCCCCTGGTATTTTTGGCCCTGTGTGACAGAGTGTTGGACTGAATGGGCCTGTGACCTGATCCAACATTGGCGTCTCTTATGTTCTTAAGTCCTTCTTCACCCAAAGAGTGATGAACACATGGAATTCACTGCCACAGGAGATGGTGGCAGCTACAAGCATGGACGGCTTCAGGAGGGAATTAGATAAGCATATGGAGCAGAAGTCCATCAGTGGCTATTAGCCACAAGGTACAGATAGGAACTCTCAGTCTGGGGCAAGTGATGCTCTGCCTTCTTGGCGCTTGGGGGCGTCAACAGTGGGAGGGCTTCTAATGTCCTGGCCCCACTGGTGGACCTCCTGATGGCACCTGGTATTTTTGGCCACTGTGTGATACAGAGTGTTGGACTGGATGGGCCTTTGGCCTGATCCAACATTGGCGTCTCTTATGTTCTCTTATGTTCTTAAGTCCTTCTTCACCCAAAGAGTGATTCACACATGGAATTCACTGCCACAGCAGGTGGTGGCAGCTACAAGCATGGACGGCTTCAGGAGGGAATTAGATAAGCATATGGAGCAGAAGTCCATCAGTGGCTATTAGCCACAAGGTACAGATAGGAACTCTCAGTCTGGGGCAAGTGATGCTCTGTCTTCTTGGTGCTGGGGGGGGGGGCAACAGTGGGAGGGCTTCTAATGTCCTAGCCCCACTGGTGGACCTCCTGATGGTATTTTTGGCCACTGTGTGACAGAGTGTTGGACTGGATGAGCCTTTGGCCTGATCCAACATTGGCGTCTCTTATGTTCTTATGTCCTTCTTCACCCAAAGAGTGATTCACACATGGAATTCACTGCCACAGCAGGTGGTGGCGGCTACAAGCATGAACGGCTTCAAGAGGGAATCAGATAAGCATATGGAGCAGAGATTCATCAGTGGCTATTAGCCACAAGGTACAGATAGGAACTCTCAGTCTGGGGCAAGTGATGCTCTGTATTCTTGGTCCTTGGGGGGGGGGCAACAGTTGGAGGGCTTCTAGTGTCCTGGCCCCACTGGTGGACCTCCTGATGGCACCTGGTATTTTTGGCCACTGTGTGACACAGAGTGTTGGACTGGATGGGCCTTCCAACATTGGCTTAGAGACGGGGTCCTGGACTAGGTAGATGGATCCTCATGCAGAGCTCTGATAGCACAATGAACGTTCTAGTTTTTGATTCGCACAGAGCTCAGCGTGCCTAACGTGCCTGTTAAGCGTGTAGAGAGTTACCACTAAGAAATACTTTGGTCTCTCTTCCTCATGTTCAGTTGAGACCTGCTCAGAGCCTTTGAATCCTGGCAGCCAGGAAGTTAAGTCAGGGAAACGGCCCCGTTCCCGTTGTCCTGGGCACGCTCACCAGGATCTAAGAGCTATTTTGGGCCGTACCCAAAGGCTTCCGCTAACCACTCAAGCAGCAGAGCTTGGTGGCGTGTCCTAAGTGGCTTTTCAAGCATCAAAGGAGGTTACTCTAATGCCTTGGCATGGGCAGGTGAGAAACCCAAGGCCCTTTGTATTTGGGGGAAGGGCAGTGAGGAAGACAGGGTTTTCTCCCACCTCTGTAGATGACAGTAGAAAAGAGGTGGAGCCACCTTCAAGACTTAACAAAATGTGCGGCAGGACGTGAACTTTTGTGAGTCACTGCTCACTTCTTCAGATACCTGGTAGCACCTGAAAGACTAACAAAGTTTGTGGCAGGCCATCAGCTTTCATGACTCGCTGCTCACTTCGTCAGATACAGCTAGAATGAGAGTCCCTCTGTCCTTATATCACAAGGCTGACAGATCCCCAGTCTGTTCGGCTAACCGTGGTGCCTTCCATGGAGATAGATCCAGACGGGTCACCGTGTCAGTCTGTAGCAGCAGAAAAGAGCAAGAGTCCCGGAGCACCTTCAAGATTGGCAAGATTTGTGGCAGGGTGTGAACTTTTGGGAGTCACGGCTCACTTCCATGGATACAGCTAGAATTGGGAGTCCATCCATCCTTATATCACAAGGCTGATGGATTCCCAGTCTGTTTGGCTAACCGTGCCTTCCATGGAGGTGGATGGTGCCTCCCATGGAGATAGATCCAGAAGGACAGCCATGTTAGTTTGCCTGTAGCAGCAGAAAAGAGGAAGAGTCCCAGAGCACCTTCAAGACTGACAAAATTTGTGGCAAGGAAGGAGCTTTTGCGAGTCACCGCTCACTCCTTCAGATACTCACGGAAGCTCCGACCCGGCTACAAATTTTAATGTGCTCCTGGACTCTTGCTCTTTTCTACTGCTTGCTCTTTTCCCCCCGGGACCTTCTGCATGTCAAGAAGATGCTCTAAGGCTGAGCCACAGCCCCTCCCTCTAGTGCAACCAGCCGGGTAGGTCCAGAGTCATCAAGAAGAAGAAGAAGAGACTGGATTTATACCCCGCCCTTCACTGCCCAAAGGAGTCTCAGAGCGGCTTACAAACTCCCATCCCTTCCCCTCCCCACAACAGGCACCCTGTGAGGCAGGTGGAGCATCCTTGCACCAGTGGATCACAGGATCCAACCCCTAATCTTTAAAGAAAGTACAGTCCTATCCAGTCTATGCTGACTCTTCATCCCTAGATCAGTCATGGAGAACAAGAGCACCCCAGCTTACTGAATTTCAATTCAGTGTCCCACATCCATTCTATTACCAGTTTCAAAGACTTGTTAAGCATACCTGCTATCTCACTTGACTTTCTCTTTTAACTTGCACTCTACGGTTCTTAAATGCACCCCCCCTTTCTGTTTTAAAGAGAGGTACTTTTAATTTAACAAGGCAGTTTTCCAAGAGAACGCTAGCCCTGCCTCCCTTCCATAATGTTAGGACAGAGCTATCTCTGCAAATGGCCACAGATAGTACAGTGCCGGGGGGGGTGGGGCTGAGAGAGCTCTTGACAGAAACTGCTCTTTTTCAAGAACAGCTGTGCCAGAACTATGGCTTGCCCAAGGTCATCCAGCAGCTGCATGTGGAGGTACGGGGAGTCAACCCCAGTTCTCCCAGATTAGAGTCCGCGCACTTAACCACGACACCAAACTGGCTCTGCCAGTCGGCAAGTGCAAACGTGAACCATCGAAGTTAAGCTGTCGTGCGTGGAGGCGCTGCTGTTTTGGGCCGCCAGCTAAAGGCTCTTTGGGCGTTCTCCCCCCCCCCCCCTCCCCGTGCAGAGGGGGGCCAAGGCGACATTCCATCGTTCTACACCTACGAAGAAGGCCTGTCTCGTTTGACCACAGAGGGCCAGGCGACCCTGGAGAGGCTGGAAGGCATGCTGGCCCAGTCGATAAGCTCCCAGTACCACATGGCCGGCGTCCGGACAGAAGATTCCATCCGAGATTTTGAAGGTGAGGTTTTGACTCGCTTTGCTGCACGTCGAATCCAGGAATGAAGCGCGACGCGGTTTTGAGGTGAACTCACTGTAGCCGGTAAGCTTGTGTTGGTTGCTAAGAATGCACAGGAGATGTTCGCGGGAGACTGTTCTGCCCGGGATACCTTCTTGACCGAGGTGCACAATTTAAAAATAAAAATCCAGGGGGGGGCAATAAGGGGTCGCGACTGGAGCTAAGTGGTTGCCTCATGAGAGCAGAGGTTTGCATTTTAGAACCTAAGAAGAACCTTGCTGGATCAGGCCAGTGAGGGTCCATCTAGTCCAGCCTCCTGTCTCACACAGTGGCCAGCCAGTTCCTCTGGAGGGCCAACAACAGGGCAGGGAGGCCGAGGCCTTCTCCTGATAAGAACATCAGAAGAGCCCTGCTGGATCAGACCAGCAGCACCTTGTCCAGAATCCTGTCTCACACAGTGGCCAACCAGTTCCTCTGGACGGCCGACATCAGGAAATGGCCAAGGCCTTCCCCTGATGTTGCCTCCTGGCTCTGGGATTCAGAGGCACTAAGTTTCCGTCAGCCACATATCTAGTAGCCATTGATGGACTTATCCTCAGTGAACCCATCTAATCCCCTTTAAAGCTGTCCGTGCCTGTGGCCGTCACTACTTCCTCTGGCAGCGAATTCCACATTTCAATTGCTCTCTGTGTAAAATAGTATTTCCTTTTGTCTGTCCCGAACCTACTGCCCGTCAGCTCCACTGGATGCCCTTGAATTCTAGTCTTTCGGGAGCGGGAGAAGAAATGGTCAGCTCTGTCCACCCCATGCATCATTGTATAAACCCCTATCATGTCCTTTTCTCCCTTTCTCACAATACAAGAACTCGTGGGCACTCCATGAAACTGCTGAGCGGTCGGGTTAAAACGGATAAAAGGAAGTACTTCTTCACCCAAAGAGTGATTAACACATGGAACTCACTGCCACAGGAAGTGGTGGCGGCTACAACCATGGACGGCTTCAAAAGGGAATTGGGTACACATATGGAGCAGAGGTCCATCAGTGGCTATTAGCCACAAGGTATAGATAGGGGCTCTGGGGCAAGTGATGCTCTGTCTTCTTGGTGCTTGGGGGGGGGGGCAACAGTGGGAGGGCTTCTAGTGTCCTGGCTCCACTGGTGGACTTCCTGATGGCACTGGTATTTCTGGCCATTGTGTGACACAGAGTGTTGGACTGGATGGGCCTTTGGCCTGATCCAACATTGGCGTCTCTTATGTTCTTATGTCGTGTGCCCCCCCCCCCCAAAGTCGTCTCTTTTCTGAATTGAAAAGTCCCGGACACTTTCCTCACAGGGGAGGTGCTCCAACCCTGTAATCATCTTGGTTGCTCTCCTCTGTACTTCTTACCAGCCCTGTGGTGTCCTTTTGGAAGCCCTTGAGATGCAACAGAGAAATTCCTTGCATCTGCAAACAACCTATTTTTCCGTTGCATCCCATGGGCTTGCAAACAAAGGCAGTGTCAGAGCCCACGGAGAAATCAGTTCCCAATTACAGTCATTCAGAAGGACTTAAAGTTTATTAAGACAGTGATAGGATCCAGACTCAAAACGTTCTTTGTTCGAACGGGGGTCAAGCGCGAGAAGCGAGCAATGATACTGCCATCAAATGAAGCCAATCACACTTACCCGATAAGCCCGACGGACCAACGGTTCCAAATTCCCAGGGAAAAGAGAATACCAGAGGCAGTACAGGTCTCATGGTTACATGGCACATCAGAGAGAGAACAACACAGAGGCCAGAAACAAAACTATACACCCTTGTTCCCACCCCCCACATCTCCATGGCAACCAAGCCCAAGACAGCCACTTGGTTGACAGGCAACTTGGATTCACAAACTGGTGGGGTGGGGGTCCAAATGGTACTGGGAGGTGTTCAACATGCCCCCTTCCTAGTTCTTTTTTTTTTTAAGTACCCATAGGTACACTTTTATTAATTTTTTTTAAATCTACAACAAACAAATCTACACACTAGAAACAGATACTCTACTACACATGACGTATATACCAAGAGTGCAGTTAACATTATATGCTTATATGCAATTACTTAATTAATGAAAACTCTATATCAAATACTTTCCATTCTTCTATCTTCTGTGTTCTCAAGTCCATTGCGCTATCCTTGCCTAATCTTCTATTACATTTGCATTATACCAATCATAAAACTTTTTCCATGTTTTTTTGAAATGTCCACTCTTTACTTAATCTCATTTTCTGCTGTTTCAAAAAGTTTATTCACAAACTCCTGTTTCGTTGGTATCACCATGGTTTCCCAATATTTGGCATATAAGATTCTTGCAGCTGTCATCATATAAACAGTCAAATACCTATTCTCTTTTTCATAATCCTTTGGAAATATATTTATTTATTTATTATTTATATTTCTATCCCGCCCTCCCCAGAGGCTCAGGGCGGCTTACAAAGTATATCGCAAGATAATACAATAAAACAATACAAAACTATTAGCCACAAGGTATAGATAGGGACTCTGGGGCAAGTGATGCTCTGTCATCTTGGTGCTTGGGGGAGGGGGGTCAACAGTGGGATGGCTTCTAATGTCCTGGCCCCACTGGTGGACCTCCTGATGGCACTGGTATTTCTGGCCACTGTGTGACACAGAGTGTTGGACTGGATGGGCCTTTGGCCTGATCCAACATTGGCATCTCTTATGTTCTTAACATTAAAAATATTAAAAATACATCACAGTAATGGACAACTTTTGGTGCTCCTCTCCTAAAGACAAGATGGCCGTCCCCTAAAACGTCCCATTCTCACCCAAGATGCCCGCATTATGATCATGGACGGAAATCATGTGGCGTTGGTGGTCCCATGGCGATGGCGGCTCCTATTCAAAAGCCTGGCGGAAGAGCTCCGTCTTGCAGGCTCTGCGGAACTGAGCTAGGTCCCGCAGAGCCCTGAATTCTCCTCTGGGAGCTCATTCCACCAGATAGGAGCCGCCACCGAAAACGCCCTATTCCTGGTCATGACAAGTTTGATGGACCGGGGACCTGGCACATCCAGTAAGCTCTGATTCCCCGACCGTAGTGCTCTTGGGGGAACGTGTGGGGAAAGGCGGTCCCTCAAGTTGAATATATTCAACAGCAAGACCTCTGGACTAAATGGAATCTTTGCTCTTAGTATCTTCTCCATCAAACTATGGACCCCCTTCCTAGTTCTTGTCATGTTCCTGGAATGCAGTGACGGGGCAGGGCTTGAACAACTACCCCTTGCCCCCCCCCCCCCCCCCAGAATCCCTTTGCAAAGGAGAGTGTCCACTGTGGGCGTGCAGGCGCAGGCCGCGCAACACAGTTCGCTCAGGCCACATAGCTTGCACCCCGCTTCTTGGGGGCATCATTGCTGCGAGGAGCAAGATTTTAACTGTGCGTAATGGACTTGATTCCTGCCAACCTAGCAGTTCGAAAGCAAGAAACTGCAAGTAGATAAATAGGGACCACTCCGGTGGGAAGGTAACAGCGTTCCGTGCGCCTCGGTGTTTAGTCACGTCGGCCACACGACCACGGAAAACGTCTTCGGGTAGCGCTGGCTCTTCGGCTTGGAAACGGAGATGAGCACTGCAACCCTAGAGTCGGATTCGACTGGCTTTCGAGCAAGGGAACCTTTACTTAATGGACTTGTGGCCCATTCAAGGTCTCCAGAATGTGTGGCTTTTTTCTTTTTCTTTTTGCATTTTGTTTTATTGAAGAAAGAGTTTTATAATCTAACGCCACCAAAATCATCACTGTTATGAAAAAAAAAAATCTTCACTTGCATGCTTTATCAGCGTTTCTTTTTCATCTTCCTTCTTCTTCCAAAATTAATTACATGATAATATTTATAAGATTCTCGGACAGTCTTAGCTCATTATAATAGATGTGGCCGTGGCTTTTTAAGGAACAGGGCCTCTGGTGTCCTGGCCCCGCTGGTGGACCTCCTCAGGGCACCTGGTATTTTTGGCCACTGTGTGACACAGAGTGTTGGACTGGATGGGCCTTTGGCCTGATCCAACACTGGCTTCTCTTATGTTCTTAAGGTATAGATAGAAACTCTCAGTCTGGGGCAAGTGATGCTCTGTATTCTTGGTCCTTGCGGGGGGCAACAGTGGGAGGGCTTCTAGTCTCCTGGCCCCACTGCTGGACCTCCTGAGGGCACCTGGTATTTTTGGCCACTGTGTGACAGAGTGTTGGACTAGATGGGTCATTGGCCTGATCTAACATTGGCTTCTCTTATGTTCTTATTTTAAAAATCTGCTTCACATGAACACGTGATGCTGCCTTACACTGAATCACACCCCTGACTCCATGAAAGTCAGTATTGTCTACTCAAACTGGCCAAGGCTCTCCAGGGTCTCAGCCAGAACTCTTTCGCATCACCTCCAACTAATACCTTTAGCTGGAGATGCCGGGGACTGAACCTGAGACCTTCTGCGTGCCAAGCAGAGGCTCTTCCACTGAGCCACGGCCCCTTCCCATGACTCTCCAGGGTCTCAGGCTGAGGTCTTTCGCATCACCTACTGCCTGGTCTTTTTAACTCGAGATGTCGGGGATTGAACCTGGGACCTTCTGCATGCGATGCAGTAGCTCTACCACTGAGCCAGTTTAGGCAAGCGAAACATTCACGTAGCTAAGGCTCTCCAGGGTCTCAGGCTGAGGTCTTTCCCATCCCCTCCTGCCTGCTCCTTTTATCTGGAGATGACAGGGATTGAACCTTGGACCTTCTGCATGCCAAGCCGAGGCTTTTCCATCGAGTCACAGCCCCTCCCTGAGTAGTTACTTGGGGGGGTGGCTGATATAGGATTGTATAGAATTTTAGAACAAATTATCTCATTGGGGGAGTTATCTGGTGAGCAGGTACTTCATAGTTTCCTCTCTGTGCACCCTAAACAGCTCGGTTGAGTCTCTGGAAAGCTGCTGTGTGAGTTGGAGGGTGACCCCTTTGGACTCTTACAGACCTATGACTGCACGATCCTTGAAGTGACAGACTTTTGCCGGCAGGGGGCGCAAGTTCTTCCATGGCTTGCCAGTTTGCCCACTTCTCTTTCCTTTGGCTTCCAGATGGCATGGAGGTGGATGCGTCGTCGCCAGCCGTCGCCGGGCAGTTTGAAGACGCGGATGTCGATCACTGAGGAGGATGCGGACAGCGGCTCAGGTTTACACTCAAAACTCCCTTCTCTAAAGTAGTAGTTAGGTTCTTGTAGTGGTTAAGAGCTGCGGACTCTAATCTAGAGAACCAGGTTTGATTCCCCACTCCTCCACATGACGCCAGCTGGGTGACCTTGGGTCACTCACCAGTTCTCTCAGAGCTGTTCTCTCAAGGGCAGTCCTCAAAGGAGCTCTCTCGGCCCCACCTGCCTCACAGGGTGTCTGTTGTGGGGAGGGGAAGGGAAAGGAGATTGTAAGCCGCTCTGAGACTCCTTCGGGTAGTGAGGAGCAGGGTATAAAACCAACCCCTCCTCCTTCTTCTTTAGTTGATTGAAAAATACCCAGTTTGCATGGGTTTTTAAAAATCCATCCTTTGCTCAAAATATATGCTTAAAAATGCATATAATAGGAAGTTATTATACAGGGAGTGGTGGCGGTTAGAAGTACGGACGGCTTCAAAAGGGAATTAGATAAGCATATGGAGCAGAGGTCCATCAGTGGCTATTAGCCACAAGGTATAGATAGGGGCTCTGGGGCAAGTGATGCTCTGTCTTCTTGGTGCTTGGGGAGGTCAACAGTGGGAGGGCTTCTAGTGTCCTGGCCCCACTGGTGGACCTCCTGATGGCACCTGGTATTTTTGGCCAGAGTGTGACAGAGTGTTGGACTGGATGGGCCATAGGCCTGATCCAACATTGGCATCTCTTGTGTTCTCTTGTGTTCTTATGAAGTTGAACAATCTTTTGGTGTTTTTTCTCTGTACACTGAATGGGACGTGGTGTGGCCGAATTCAGATTCCTGAGAATGCCCCCTTTCACACTCACGCAGGCCGTTTCTCACTGGAGAAGTCTATCAGTGGCCAGTGGCTATGGTGACTGAGGGGAACCTCCACAGACAGAGGCACCAAACCTCAGCCTCCGTGTCCTGTTTCCGGCCCTCCAGCGGAACCGGTTGTGAGTCAGGATGGTAGACTAGATGGACCACTAGTCCGATCCAGCAAGGCCGTTCTGATGTTTCTGTCAAAACTCGAAAACATCAAGTTGGATACTGAGGAATTAAACTTTCTCCCTTCCCGTATTCCCACCGAAGCCTGTTGCACTCTTTGAAGTACAGTTCCTAGGGATTGGTGGGCTCTTGCAAACACTGGGGGGGGGGCAACATGGGTCCCGCAATGTGTACAGAGAGGAGGAATCAGTGGAAACCCCCATTGCACACCCAGGAGTCTCAAGATCCAACCCCCTCTTCGTGGGTTTGCCTGTGCCAGAGCTCCCCTGCAATCGCATCTTTTTTTGCATCTCTGTTTTGCGTTCACGCATACTCTTGCCGTGACGAGCGGCTCTTGTCTTCCATACCGGCCCGCACCCCACCCCTTTCAGGGGGAGTGGTCCACCCCACCCAGCACAACGCCCTGCCGTGCACCGCTTCGGGGAAATTTGTGCACAAGCCTCTATGCCATGTCAACATTCTAATGTGATGTTAAGTCTGGCTGTAGATCTGTGGCATCTATGTGACAGGAGCTGACAGCTCTAAGTTTATTTTATTTATTTATTTTATTCAGGTATTTCTACCCCGCCCTACCCCGCAAGCGGGCTCAGGGCGGCTTACAAGGGGCATAGGCCCATACATAAAATTCAATAAAATTCAATAAAATCACAGAATACAATCAATACATACTGTTAATAGTAATAGTAATAAAGTGCTTTAAGTTTTTAAGTTCCAAGACGGTATACAGTTGTCTCTTACAGGAGGTAACCCCTGCCAGCGCTAGTTATACTAATATAATACCGGCAGTCTTAATCCAAGCTAATCGGCTGATCTTGCCGCCATATAGTCCGTCTTGCCACCGGGCCATCAAGGGCGATCCAACTTTGATGGTATTTCCACCGTTGGTAGTGGTGGAAGGGGGGGGCAGGTGCGGCGGCCCCTACATAAAGGCCTGGCGGAAGAGCTCCGTCTTGCAGGCCCTGCGGAATTGCATAAGATCCCGCAGGGCCCTGATCTCTTCCGGGAGCTCATTCCACCAGGTAGGGGCCGCCACTGAGAAGGATCTAGCCCTTGTTGCAGCATATCGTACCTCTCGGGGATCCGGGGCCACTAAACGGCTCTGGGTCCCCGACCGAAGTGCTCTTGGGGGTATATACGGGGAAAGGCGGTCCCTCAGGTAGGTCGGACCCAGGCCATATAGGGCTTTAAAGGTAAGTACCAGCACTTTGAAGCGGATTCGGTATGCTATGGGCAGCCAGTGCAGCGCCTTCAACCCAGGCTTGATGTGCTCCCACCTGGGGAGGCCCAGCAGCAGCCTAGCTGCCGCGTTCTGCACCAGCTGCAGCCTCCGAATCAACGACAAAGGCAGCCCCATGTAGAGAGCGTTACAGTAGTCTAGCCTTGAGGTGACCGTCGCATGGATCACTGTAGCCAGATCATCACGGTCGAGGAAAGGGGCCAACTGCCGAGCCTGCCTCAGATGGTAAAAAGCAGACCTGGCAGTGGCTGCTACCTGGGCCTCCATTGTCAAGGAGGAGTCCAGGAGCACTCCCAAACTCCTAACCTCCGACGCAGGCACCAAAGGCACCCCATCGAAGGTCGGGAGAGGGAGCCCTAACCCCATCCCGTTCCGACTCAGGCCCAGGACCTCCGTCTTCGCTGGGTTTAGTTTCAACCGGCTCAGCCTGAGCCACTCAGCCACAGCCTGTAATCCCTGTTGAAGGTCTTCAGGGTCGGAGGCCGACCGGCCGCCCAACATCAGATAGAGCTGGGTGTCATCTGCATACTGATGACAACCCAGCCCAAACCTCCTGGCAATCTGGGCGAGAGGGCGCATATAGATGTTAAAGAGCATCGGGGAAAGCACTGCCCCCTGAGGGACACCACATTCAAGTGGGTGCCTCTGGGACCGCTGTTCCCCGATCTCCACTCTCTGTCCCCGACCTTGGAGAAAGGAGACAAGCCATTGAAGGGCGAGTCCCTGAATCCCCACGTCGGCGAGGCGGTGGGTCAGCAACTGGTGGTCGACCGTGTCGAACGCAGCCGACAGATCTAACAACACCAGTGCCGCCACACCCCCTCGATCCAGATGCCTCCGGAGATCGTCAGTAAGGGCGACCAGCACTGTCTCCGTCCCGTAACCAGGGCGAAAGCCGGACTGAAGTGGATCAAGGACAGAAGCGTCATCCAGAAAGCCCTGAAGCTGTGTCGCCACCGCCCTCTCAATCAATTTGCCCAAATAGGGCAAATTAGACACCGGCCGATAGTTGGCCAATTCGGTCGGGTCTAAGGTTGGTTTTTTCAGGAGAGGGCGGACCATCGCTTCCTTAAGTGCTTCCGGGAATCGTCCCTCCAAGAGGGACTTGTTGATAATCTCCCGAACAGCACCTCGAAACCCCTCGTGGCCCGCCTTGACGAGCCAGGAAGGGCACGGATCCAGGGAGCATGTGGTTGGGCGCACAGTTCCGAGCAATCTGTCAGCTTCTTCCAGACTGAGCGAGTCAAAACATTCTAAACTCAACGAGGACGTGCAAGGGGCCTCAAGTTCGCTCACTGTTTCAACTGTGGCGGGGAGATCACGGCGGAGCACCGAGACTTTATCCGCGAAGTAGCTCGCAAAAGCCTCACAGCCTATAGCCAATTCCCTACTGTTTTGTCTGCCCTGTGGCAGAGTTGTTAAGGACCGAATTGTTCTAAATAATTGGGCTGGGCGCGAGCCAGCGGACGCAATCGCGGCTGCATAGAATTCCTTCTTAGCAGCTTTGACCGCCATCTCATAGGATTTCATAAGCGTCCTGAAGGATGTTCTCGATGCTTCGTCACGAGCTCGACGCCACCGTCTCTCTAGCCGTCTAAGTTCCCGCTTCATAAGTCGGAGCCCCTGGGTATACCAAGGGGCCAACCTAGTGCGGGGGCGCAGAGGGCGCCGGGGAGCGATCACATCGATGGCTGCGGAGAGCCGGCCATGCCAGTCCCCCACAAGCTCATCTAATGAACCGCCAGGGGGCATCGGATCCCGCAGAGCCAGCTGAAGCCGTACATGGTCCATTTGGCTCCGCGGGCGAGCTAAAATCTGCTCGCCGCCTAAACGGGGTCGGGGTGGGATGTTCAGACGAGCCTTCAGGGAATAGTGGTCCGACCATGGTACTGCC